AAACATTACAAATTTTTGTCCAAGCATCAATGGACAAACCATGTAACCCTTTAAGATTTGGGCAACCCCACCTTATCTCTATGTGTGGCTTTCTTGGGAGAAAAAATCTAAGGTTAGGGCTATGGCTTTTCTCCCATCATCAATGGTTTTAAAATATATACCAGTTTTCAATTTGGTTCTAGATTTAAAAAAAAATTAATTTAATTATTTGTTCAATAGCCTTTTGAAGTTAAATACAAAATATTTAGTGATGTGACATTTTAAATCGCTTTATTAGTCATTTAAAATATCGAATAAGTTCAAGTTTTGAGGAGACTAGTTGGATTTGGTAATCGAGTAGGGTGAGGTAGATATTCAATATTGAAAAGTACTCACTAGCTCTTAGAAAGCAATATTTTATGATCAGTTTAATAACGTTTCTATTTCTTTTGTTTCTTGGTTCCAGTTTTATCGAGAGATTGCATTTGAAAACTATTAGGTTTATTGTTTCTCATTTTTTAAAAATGTTCCAAAAATTGTATGAAATTTTATAAACAACAAAATCAAATTTCTTGTTTTTCTTCTCGTTTCAAATTTTTTCCAAAACATAAATAAAAATGTTATCTCATCATTCTTGACTTATAAAGAACAAGAAATCGTTACCAAATATAATTATGTTTTTCTTTATTAAAAAAGAGAAACGAGAAACGGGAAACAAGAACATTGCCAAATGGACCCTTAATATATGACAAAATCACTATTCTATTCAATTTCAATGGTTTTACTTATAATTTTTTATACAACTTACTAAAACAATATATCTCTCTATATTTCTAGAATCGTATGATATTTTCTATTTTGACCGCCTATGCTAGTATGATTTTATTTTGAATTCTACTCATAAAGCCACATCTAATGAAGATGCTCGCATACATTTTTTCCAACTAGTTTATTTCCATGTAGGAACAATTTTTCTCGACACTATCTATATCAAAAATTAGATCATGAATAATTTTATAACAAAATAGTAAATCAAACTTTTTTTTTTAATTCAATATAAGAATGAGATTATTATACTCTCAAATCTTTCGACAGTTGAACTAACAAGCAACAACCTAATTTATTATTAAGCACTTTTTCTAGGAGTATTTATAACAAAATTAGTATTTAAAAAAAGTTTCTCATTTCTTATTAGAGTGAAACATTTGGACAATAATTCAAAGGCATACGTTTTGGAAATACGACTAAATGCAAAAATCCAAAGGCAAAGAGTCGAATAAAATAACTCAAAACAGTTGGGCTTTTCTTATTATTACAAGATAAGAATGGGAAAAAATAAAAATGATTTTGATTGGGATGTTTCATGAACAAATTAAGATGTTATTTGACCATAAATTAAAATCACTTTGTCGCTCAATTATTAAATCAATCAATCTATCTGCCAAATTAAACTTCCTAGGACCATATAATATAATTAAGTTATCCATCGTTGTTGAAAGTTTCAAAGTTTTTAATTTCAATGTAAAGATGCATTCCCTTTTCCTCAACTTTGATCGAAAACATCAATTTGCTAATTTGGCACATCATAAATTGATTAAAAAAACGTTAAGGTTAGAATCATCGATTTAATTTCTATGATTTGAGCTTTAATTACCTTAATTTTATGGTTTTACAAGTTTAATTTGGTTTTATTATTTGGAGTTTAATCATTTTAATTTTATTCTATGACAAATATTATGTCCATCATGATGATTCCAATGACTAACTCGAGTTCAGTTCAAGTTTTGATTTGTGTTTGTTTAGTTCTCGAGTTAAATAACTATCTTTGTAGCTCCATAAATGTTTCAGTTTATGCTCTTAATAACTTAGTCGTAAACACGTGTACTTTTGAATTTGCACCTCACATTTGTTTTACTAAAGAAAGGGGAAATTTTTGTTCTATGGTTTTAAAACTTTCAACCTTGTCCTTAGGTTAAATCTCACAAATTACCTCTAAATCATTTTTTTATACGTCATAAAATCCGCCCCATTTTTTACTCTTTGCTCCAAATTCTGGTCAATTAACACGGCCGATAGAAAAAACATTAACCTTTTCTTTAGTAGAACAAATGTGAGGTGTGAGATTGAAAAATACGCAATGACTTGTAACAAATGGGATATGTGTGAGTTGTAATCAAACTATAAAAATCAAGTAAGTTTTTTTAAAATTATAGGGACCGATTTAAAAATAAACCAGACCAATTTATTAAATTGGTGTTAAATTTTAATTAATTGGAGGTCGAATCACAAAACTTTTTTTCTACAATTATTTGAGTGTTGAATTTTGGTGGTGTTGTTTCTCGTCGGCAGACGGCAACACAATGCCAAACCGGATCCATCACAATGTATTTGTTCTTACCTTTTTCTATTTTATTTTAATTTCGAAAATGTTAACTATAGATCCTATCTCTACACCTCCAATTTTGATTCTACTTAATTCGTATTATCAAATATAACATTTTTATTGGACAAACGTCATGTTGGTTAATTGAACCAAAGGCGAAGTCATAGATTTTCATGAAACGGACAAAATTTACATTTACACTATATATATATATATGTATGTATGTATATTATGAAAATTAAAAAAATAATAATAATACTATGGTTCTTACTTTATTCACTTATCAACATTCATCTCTTATAGATGATCGTTAAATTTTTTGACAAATAATATAAGAGAGACGTAGAAATGAGATACTTTTTCATTTTTTAAAATAATAAAACACGGTCAAATTTTTAAAGGATGTTAAATAGGAACAAGTCCAAAGATGCAAATGGCCTTTATTTCCGACTCAGGTCACTCAAATTGGCCTTGGCCTGGTATAGTTGACAGGTAGTAGAAAAGTAGAAAAGATTTGATGGGTGGTTTCAAAAAAGGAAGGTATTATTTTTGGTAGATGTAGAGTTTATTTGAACACCTTAAAGATTAATCACAATCATGGAGCGACTCTTAATTGCATTTTTCTTGGAACATGTGAATGGCTTCTCTTGTAGACAACATAGAATGGATGTATCATATAATTTCAAAGTGAGGAAACACCTTATGGGATGTGGGTCACTTCCCATTCTATTCAAATTTATTACCCTTAAATTTACCATAATGCCATCCCATAGCTCCACCCGCTCATAGGTGTCGAAATGTCGAGATCTTAATTCGATAGAGAAATTAAACTAAACAAAGAAGGAAAAGAATCCATCCCTAAATTATTAAAAAAAAAAAAAAGTTAATTTTCTAATTGCATATTTGAATTTTCAATAATTAGTGTGACTAACAAAATCATTTCAATTAGACCCAATAGTTATAACTACGTTAGCTGCAATTTGAAACATGTACAAACCACTTGTGAATAGGAATGTTCGTGGGGCAGGATGGGTACGGAACAGACTTTCCTGTCCCCATCTCTACCCTCCATTTCATTCCTCATCCCTGCGGAATTCCCCATGAAATTTCGTGGGGATCGGGGTGGGGATTCCTTGCGGGACATTCACGGGGATCGGGTTCCCCGTAGGGAATTTTTCCCCCATTTAATTCTTTTACTTTTAAAATTTTTTCTCAATTAAACATTTTTCCAAAGGAAATTTCTAATTAAATAATTAATTTTCAATACATGTTCTAATCCTCCTTTATATATTTGGTAGGTAGAGAAGAATATGATTTTATTGGTATAGGTAAGTATAGAAATAATAATAAGACTCCTTTAGTGTGTGTAATATATATTATATTAAGAAAATGCGAGGTGGGGCGGGGAACGGGGACGGGATTTCGATTGAAACCGAACAGTGAGAACTAAAAACATAGGAAGAGAAATGGCACATGCATTTGGCAATAGAGGTGAGGGGGCATTGATGGGGCACATGGGTTTAGGCAATTGGCCTCTAACTAGACAAAGGGTAGCAGACATGTCTGAAAGCTGCCTTGTTTCACCCACAACTCTATGTATATGTCTTCTTCTTGTATCTTTTTGGGATTTTTATTTTAACTAACTAATTTTGATTTTTGACCTTCTAATCAAATCTAATCTAGGATGTCTAATCATCCTCATCTTCATCCTTTTTCTATGCCAAATATATCAATTGGTTTACCAACCAAATAACTAACACGGTTCCTTGTTTTGAGTTTTAGTTTCATTTTTCCAGATATATATACGCTGTTTCTATCACGTTTCTATTCAACGTGACATTTGATTAACAAAAGTTCAACCAAGTTATATATCAACTTTTAATTGGATACGGAGAAACCAAAGAAAATGAATATTTCAAGTGAAAGATGTTGACTCGTGGATAGTAATATTTTTTTATACCGTTTTCTTTATTCAATTTCAATAGTGTTATTGAGTGAGAAGTGAGAACGTAATAAAAAAGACTTGTGGTAAAATTGAAACTTTGGTTGAAAATTAAAATAAATAAAAAATACTTCAAGGACCCAATTATACATTTAGCCAATTTTTTAACCTTTTTTTTAAAAAAGAAATTTGTAGATATTTCTTAAAAAATCATAAAAGTGTTTAAATTAATAAATAAAAATTTCACCAAAGTTAAAAATTACAATTATTAATACCATATGACGAGACCCTGATTTTATGAAAATATTGAGATCAATCAAAATCTCAGAAAAATTTTTGAAAATCATGAAAATTTATGGAAATAATTTGAATTTACTAATAAAACTATAATTGTCGGTCGAAATTTTACACATTGATCGAAATTTCGACATGTCGGTTGAAATATTGATCCACATTAATGATATTTTGTTTTGATGTTTTTTATATTTTATTGCTCTCGACATTCGTCAAGCGGTTGGACTCACAAGTCCCCCCTACATGAAGTTGAAAAGTACACTATTGGACCTTGTCTCTTCATTGCATTGATCCAATCTACAAAACTTCAAATTGGGCCAGAGTTTAGTTTCTTCTTCAACTACCATTTTGTAGATCAAAAATTGGTTTGAATGTCTGAAAAATGATTAATTCTATATTGAGTTTCACAACATATTTATCTACTAAGCTTAAGAACACAGATCCACAGGAACATAAGATACAACACATCATTTATAGGAAAAGCAAAAGTGTTGTTATATCCAAAACAGAAACATTCTGCTATGTCTATTATTGCCCTTTTCCCCCATGTTTATACCGACATACGAACGTAACGAGTAGATACATGAACTCACCTAGTTAAAACTCTGATCAAAATGCCACTCGAATACCCAAAAGTGTCATCAACTGAGAGATGAACTGAGGATGGCCAGGCCAGGCTGCTCCAGTGACCAGATTTCCATCTGTGAAGCATCGGTCTATTGGATCGGGTTCCATCCACGTTGCTCCAGCCAATTCCACATTCAGCTTCACGGCTGGGTAAGCCGTGCATTTCTTCCCCTATATAAATTGTTGAAGAAATATGAATAGTCGGTATCGGGAATGAACAAACAATTGGAGATGCAATATACGTATAGATTATTATCACCTCTTTATTTTACAACTATTTTAAAATTAGAACAAGTCTTTTGGGTGTAGCTGATTTCGACACGCTTCCATAATGCAGGATGTGTTATTTCGTACTCTTTTCCAAGACAGGGGGCTGCCCTTTGGCATGCTACTTATAGAATACTTGCCTTAAGAGAGAGAGGAGTTTTGAGAGGTTTAGAGAATTCTTGAATCTTGGAGGAGGTTCGGGTTTTGGTTTGGTTCACTGCCTCCATGAATTTTTGTAATCAAGGATTGTTGTGATGATCTTTTTATCTCTTATTCTCAACAATTGGAGCATTTGTTTTATAATTTTCAGATTTTTTAGCTAGTTTTCCATATACAGACTCCCTTTTATCTTGGATATTCTCTCATTGCCTTTTTCAATTCTTTCATTTTTCTAAATATTATGACACCTTTGACAGAGAACTAACTCCAGGAAATCAGCCTGCAGCTATTCCATCAGTTGGCTAATTATCTCCTGCTCATTTCTGTATTTGTAAGGATTCTCCTTCTAACAAAACTCCACTAATTCCTCCTGGGATAGTAAGTATTAGACGGTTTCATTTTATATTAAGTGCCTGTGTGTAATGATGATTTAATCGTCAAAAAGAAATGCCGAGAACGAGAAGTAAAACTTACTTCAGTAACAAAAATTAATCAGTATAGCACATAATTTTTTACACAAAAAATGCTGAACCAGGGGCATTGAAGTAAATAGATATTTCATAGAGTCAAAGATAGAAGATTGTTCAATTACTACCTTCCTGTTACAATCAAACACTAACATTCCAGTTGGATTGTGAACAAAAAATTCAAACTATAATGGACAATATTCATCATGCAAATTTCTTGTGACAAGTTACCAAGTTTATACCTTCTTAGAATTATGAAGGACAAGAATCATTCTTAGTTCTTAATTCAATTGATTGATTTTTGGTTAACTCTTGTTTTTCATTTCTACTCCATTTCTTTTAGAACTATCTCTAGGATTTAGATAATCCTATAATATAAACAGACAGGTAAATTTGCTACATTCCTAATCATTGCTACAGACTAGAGAGGAAATCACAGGAATAGTTTACTGGTAGTATTACACACCCCCTAAAACAGCACCTGGGGAAAGTTCAGAGCCCTTAATATTACTCAAGCTAACAAAATTGAATTAATCAGTTGGAACACCCACTCTACTTCCTTACTACAGCTATAAGACAGAAGGCACCTCAGGAAAGTCAATAGCCCTGAATATTCTCCCAAGCTCACACAACCAGATTAACCAGTTGAAAAACCAACTTTACTTGCTTTCCACGGCTATAATATCCCTCCCTCAATTCTCCAACTCCTCCATTTTCCTCAAATTAGTTGAACGTATAATTCGCATCCTACCCTTTCAAAGCTACCCACATCGCTTCCTTATCGAGTCCAAGAAACAAAGCAGGGTGGTTCTCATATATTTTCTAGATACATAACTTTTTAAAAAATGAACGATATTTATGCAGGTTGAACAAGCAAAAAGAAATCAATACTTAAGATTTTCCAAACAATTCATGCTAGATCATGTCGATACCTGAAGAACACCAGCAGCAGATAAGATCTGTTGTCCATGGCAAATAGAAGCAACTGGCTTCCTAGCCTCCATAAACTCCTTCACAATTGCAATAACTCGTGCATTCAGGGCCAAATACTCTGGTGCTCGACCACCAGGGATTACAAGAGCATCATAGCTTGATGCATCTAAGCCTTCAAAATCAGCAGTTAACTTAAAATTATGGCCTGGCTTCTCACTGTAAGTTTGGTCACCTTCAAAATCATGGACAGCAGTCGGGCAGCGATCACCAGCCTTTTTCTCGGGACAAACTGCATCAACATGGCAACCAAGAGCTTGAAGGGATTGAAAAGGAACAGTTACCTCGTAGTCCTCCATGTAATCCTGAAATTGAAAAGCATAGAGAAGAAACTTGCTAATATTAGCCATCAGAAACTACGCCTTCAAAATTATTGTAAAGATTATTAAAATAAACAAGGAATCCCTTCAACTTGTTGCTAAAAGAACCAGGAAATCACTTTATAACAGCCCAAACCCAGAAATGGGCTTTGTCCGCAAGTTTTAAACTACTTGAAATTCTATTTACTTATGCAAATATGTAGTGGTTTGAGACAGAGTGTGCTATACGAGAGACCAATGGTAGCATTTGAGGCACAGAAATGAGGGTTGAAGAGAGAGCTGGGGAGGGGGAACTGGTTTCGAGGAACATGGTATTCAACTGACCCTCATTGAATTGACCTGGGAAAAGAGATTCGTGGTCAACACAACTATCTCGTAGGTAGCATTTGAGGAACAATATGAGGGTTGTGAACCCTCCACAAAGGAAGAATTATTTACGCCGGGTAGAGCCTCAGATGACTTTTGGCACAATCCATGAACCCTCCACAAACTAGGATTCTGAGAAACCTTAGGTAATGACCATTGGATATAGCTTTGTCAAAGTTAACAACTTCTGCTCAAAAGATGAACGCTTGCAACCTTTTAGACCAACAAGTTCACATCAAGGGACGGGGTAACCATGGCAGGGACAACTAAAGTGTCTGAAGGCAGAGGAATACAATTATTGTCAGTGTTATGTGCTCTACTTTCCATAACTTTTTGGTCAACATTATAATTATTTCTTCCAATGATGCAATTTCTACTCAGTAATGCCAGTTTGCCATCTTCTTCTTGCAACCTTTTAGGTTAGACTACTTCAAAATTGCAACTCTGTCTCACCTGCATTGAAACTCAGTTTTTCAATCTACCCTCTATAGCAAAATTATAGAACATGAGCAGATTAGACTAGCACCAGAATGAGAACTAAAATTTGATGAGAAGGAACAGTTGTGCAATAACTAATTTAGAAACATAATCAAGTTAAAAGTTTGTAGTTGTGAAGTAAGAAAAATTCTCAACAGCTGTGTAAATATACAATACAATCCTAGCTCTCAGGATAATCCCACTTTGGAATCATTCTACGTCAAACATCACATTATATTACACCAAATAATTTCATAATATCCTACACAACTTTGCAAATTTATTATAAAATTTAAGCTTACCCCACAAAGGAATAGAATCCTCTTATCTGATCCACTGATATTTCCTCCAAGTGCCTTGACAAAAAGCTGAATGAACTCAGGATGCCCCTCATATGTGGCACCAGTAATGATATTACCATCAACAACACATGCTGCCATACTCTCCGGCTCAATCCAAGAAGCACCAGCAGCAATCAACACAGGTTTCACAGGAGGGTATGCTGTACACTTCCGACCTCCAACCAACCCTGCAGCAGCCAAAATCAATTGTCCATGGCACACAGACGCAATTGGCTTCCCAACCTCGGAAAATTTTCTCACCAAATTCACCACAGAGCCATCTACAGCAAGATATTCCGGTGCTCGCCCTCCCGGAATCACCAACCCATCATATTTCATAAAATCAATTTCATCAAACGTTGCATTCAGAGCGAAATTATGGCCGCTAGATTCTGAGTAAGTCTGTAGAAAACAGAAATACACTCAAAATTAATCAAAACTGTAGGGATTTGAAGTTGGGTTATGAGAGGGAATAAGGAAACCGAGATACCTGATGACCCAGGGAGTCATGAATGGCAGTGCGACAGATATCGCCTGCCTTCTTCCCCGGACAAACTGCGTCCACTGAAACTCCATATGCCTGGAGCGCTTGAAATGGGACCATGGCCTACAAATTGGAATCAAATGGAAGCGTGTAAGCTCGTCCAGAGTTTCAATATAGATTAATTTGCACAGAGAATTGGAATTCGAGAAAAAGAAGAAGGAATTGACCTCAGAGTCTTCCATGTAGTCGCCGCAGAGCAGTAGAACAGCTTTCTGGGACTTGGATTGAGCCATATCCTGATTCTTGATCAAATCCCAACTCCGTTTTCTTCTTATGAACAGAAGATGGAGAAATGGCGAAAACAGAGATTTGATTTCGGCATCCCATATCGGATATATATCTTCCGCTGTCTTCTAGTTCTAGCCGCTCCTTCCTTCCTATTCTAATCTTTTATGAATGATATTTCTATGATTCCATGGAATTTTCATTTTATTTATTAAAATCAAATCATAAGAATATTTTGTTGCACTAAAAGAAATTTTTAAAAAATCATAACTTATTTATTAAACTATGTATTTTTTTCGTGAAATTCAAACCTACCATTTAAGTATTACTCAATATCTTTAACAATAAAAAATTGTAATAAAACTTTTATTTACCAATTTCAGCGTAGTTTAACTAATTAAATCAATCTGGAGATAATTTGATTGATAAAATATCTATTACTATCTCAAACATTATCGTTGATCTCCACCCTACAATTTTTCGAAAGAGAAAAGTTTGACTACGTATGAAGTGTACTAAAGAGAAACTAATTACCACAGGTTAATATTCTACCATCTTTCTTAATAGGTTGAAATCTCCACCTGTATAAATGATACTATTTTAAAAATTTGTATTAAATTCATATTTTTAAAAAGATAGGTTTTGATTGATAGTGTACTTTATGAGCCACGTTTCATGACATTTAGGTGAGAATTATTATTTTCAATTTTATATAACTTATATTTTTGCGCACGAACGAGCTAGTAGAAAGAAATGAAGCATAAGTGATCTTAATGGTGAGGAAAATCAGAGTCAAAAGACGAAAGGAAAGTTTAATTTCCGCCGAAGAAGCGCCACAGCACCCAATATAACGTCATGGCCACTGCAGGACAAAGATGGGAACAAAAATCCAAAAAAAGACAGCACCGCAGCGCCATCATGTAGCATCATGGTGCTATGAACTTCACACATTCATCATAATTTTAGGATAGCATCATGACGCTCACTAATGACATCATGGTGCTATAACGATGCGCTTTTATACACAAAGGGTTTGTGTGCTGTTTGGAGGACTTTTACAGAATTTTGGAGATTGTGAGCAGCGAGAAGGACGAGAACCCAACCTCGGAGGGCAAAGAGATTGTTTTGAAGGCTCATGATCGTGAGATTGAGTCAAGACAATCAATCAATACGATAATGGATTTAGTTTTTTTTTTTTTTGTCCTTTCTTTTTATCTTTTCTAGTTTGATTATGAACTTCTCATTAGGATTTAGTTGTATTTTCATGAACTACCTAAATTTCTTGTTCTAGGGATTGATGTAGCTATTAGATTTATGAGTTAGATTAATTTGATTATGTCTTGATTGATTTGTTATTAATGATCTATTTGTATCTTTACTTGTTTAAATTGATTAATTATGTTGTTAAATCTGAATCTTGCTTGGTCATGGATTAATTATTGTTGTTAAATCTAAATCTTACGCTCCGGGTTTTAATTGCAACTTGCATGCATGACTGGGGTAGTTATAAGATAAGGAGATTTAGAATTGCTTTAAAATTTGTTAAAAGAAGTAGACTTAAGACCTATACTTGTTAACGAAGCTAGATAGTGATATTGATTTCTTAACAAGTAGAAGAATTAATTGTGCTCGGGAGGGACACTTATAAATTGTGATTTTTTGACTTATAGATTAACTGTATATTCAATCTTTACGCGTTTGATTTATCTACTTGTAAATTTTGGTGAAATCACCCTTTCTACTATAGATATTTTCCTTGATTTTTATTAGTTGCATTATTGTTGTTGTTTTTTTTTTTTATCATGTTTAAAGAATGTGAAAAATTGTTAATGTATAGTAGGATATTTTAGAGATTTTACCAAAATATATGTATGAAACTTTAAAACTAGAAATTGAAAATGATAATTCCTCCCTTTGGTAGTCAACCATTCCATGAGAAGTATCTTCAATCCTGTGCGACCAAATACGCTGTCGCATTGGTGACTATTTCATGTAATAAAAAATTAAAATTGATTATTCTAAAGCAACGTGGAGAAACATTGTTAACATACTGTTTTCTTTAGAGAAAATATATTTAAGAAAGAAAATTTGTAAATATTAGAAAGCAAGAATTCAAATGTGTTTGTAAGAAATATGAGAACGTGTCAAAAGAAATTGTGAGTAAACCAATATAATTTTAAAAATAAAAAATAAAAAACGAAATTGTTATCAAAACACCTGTTATTGAGAATTAATAAAAAAAAAACTAAACAAGAAACTTATACATTGGCACGTGTCCCAGCATGAAAACGTGCGGAGGACAATTGTAATGTTATTAAATTAGTTCATTTATGAAAACCTATAAATATTTTGAATATTTTTTTATCGTACCATATTTTTATGTGTATTGTGTTCCTAGATGAAATTTTTGAATCTGTCACGGTTCTATGGTGCATTAAAGAAGAAAACATTTCAAGAGGCTCTTTCTTGATCTAAGATCTTTCCCCTTACGACTAATACTTTGCAAATAGATACAACATTTGGGTTTAAAAAACAATTACAACTTGTGATTGGAAACAACAACAAAAACAAAGACAAAAATGCCCTTGTAGTTTCTAAAGTTCATAAGTCATGCCCACTTTGAGCATATGCTTGTGAGGAATTTCAAAAACTTGGTCAGTTTGCCTGAGGTTCTTCTTCAAGAAGTTATATGCATAGTTTATCATAATCCTCTTTCCAAAGCCAGCCCCTTTTTGGGCAACCACCTCTGTTTCCCCCATCAAATGAACTACACCATCCTTCCATGCTTCTTCAACTCCTCCAAAACCATTCTCCTCGTTGTCGTCTTCTTCTGCTCTCTCTCCGACCCCGTTTTTCCCGTTAGACAACTGTCTTTGCTCTCTTTTGAACTCCCTCAATCTTTCGAGTAAAATCTTCTCGAACGACTCTTGTTCGGTGTGCACATCCATGTACCCGTATCGAACAACACAACGGAACACATCGATCTCCCTGGTCTCTACTTGTCGGAAAAGGAAACGTTCTTCGACTGGAACCTAAGTTTTTAAGAAATAATAGACACAAAATATATCAGATACGTATCTACCATAATCTATCGACTTAAGTTTTTTAAGTTTAGCGGTGATTTAATAAGAGTTTAATTATAAATTTGGTCCATGTAGTTGGGGCATAATTTTGATTTAGTCTCTAAGTTAATTAAATCATCTATGACTAAAGTTGTGAATACATGACTTTTTTTTTATGTCCAATAAGCTAATGTTCTCTATTTAGCTTACTAGTTAAAAAAAAAGATAGGAAAAGTGAGTGGCTTTTAGATGGATAAAAGATGATTTATGGACTGTTTAAAGTTTAACCTAATCACAAAGACCAAACTGAAACTTTTAAAACTATAGAAACCAAATTAAAACAAGTCCAAACTAAGATCTAAATTGAAACTTTGAAAACCACGCCAAAAAGCAAATTGAAAATTAGGAATTTTGCACAAACCTTGCTGACGGGAAGCGATTTAATGGTGACGAAGACGAGCACGGAGTGCAAAGCGGGGACGTGCTCGATGTAGTGCTTGAAGATGGGAGGGATGCCTTGAACGAGCTCGGAATAGAACAATGCCATGCCAGGAATCCTGCTAAAGCTGGTGGTATTCACCATCTCATTGAGCTTGTCTGATGAGATTTTGTGGCTGAGCTCATAAAAGTACTTTTTTCTAAACACACTGTTCCACACATACATTATTGTCATCAAAATAGCTGCAAATGCCAGAGGAAGATACCCTCCTTGGTCGAACTTGTAAAGGACTGAACTCAGATACAAAAATTCCACACTTCCAATTACGAGCATGTAAGTGATTATGAGAAGGATGTGAGTTTTCCATATCATCACCATTACGAGTACTAGGAAGGACGATGTGAGAGTCATCACAAAAACCACTGCAATTCCTGTTCATACAAAATTGGAACAGTGCGTAAATAACTACAGGTGTTCGTGGATTGGATTGAGTTGAATTTAGTCTGACGATAAACTCATTTGAACCTAATCTAACTCGGACAAAACTCATATAACCCAATCCAACTCAATCCATATATACGAGAGCCAGGTCATTGGGTCGTTCGATTTTTTAAACAAACCGTAACAACTTGAATTGAAAACAAGTTCCCATGCATAAGATTTTATCAAAACTATAGAAGAACGGGAATATGAAGATTATTATATATTTACCATATGCATTGCCAATCTTTGTGGTGTCCTTGAAGCCCAAAGTAACCCCAATGCAAGCCAACATGAGAAGGTAATTGACCTCAGGAACATAAACTTGGCCTTCATACTTATCAGAGGTATGAACCACTTTGACTTTAGGGAAACATCCAAGTGAAAGAGATTGTTGGATTATAGAGAAAGTTCCTGAGATCATGGCCTGGCTTGCTATGATTGATGCTGAAACAGCCACCACAAACATTGGCCAATATAGACTACCTGCAATAAGTAAATCAGGGACGGAGTCAACAAGGAACGAGAGATCGATAAGGAGCAATTGTCTTCCTCTTACCTTGTCGTAAACTCAAAAAGTATATATAAAATAATTAATTTTCGGAATCGAAAAATTATATATAATGTAACGTTTTAGTAGGATTGAAGAGCAAAGTTTAGTGAGAAAATTTAATGAAATGATGGAGTTGTTTTTGGGTACGTACCGGGAATTGACTTGTAGAATGTATCTGCAACTAGATTGTTGTGCTTACGGAGAAATGAGGCCTGGCCTGTGTAGGCACAGATTAGAGCTGGGTAGGTCACCACTGACATGCTTAGCTGAATTGATCGGACAGTGAAATGCCCGACATCGGCAAAGAATGCTTCGGTGCCTGTACTTTAGAAACGTATAGTGTATGTTTGAGAGTGTTTTTAGTTCCCGATGATCTCAAATGAATGTGCTTTGCAACCATTTAGAAACACTTTTTGCGAAAGCCAAAAGTACTTATGAAGTGATTTTCAAAGAAATGAACCAGTTTTGGGTAACAAAGAAGTACCTGTAATGGATAGTACAGTGCCGCCGAGAGAAATCCAAGCCTTCTTTTTGTTCCTTTGGAAGTACTCCACTATGTACTTTGGATTTAAGGCTTTTAGAACTGTTGGATCGTATTTTATGAAGTTGTAAATTCCAATCCCAGTGTTGAATCCAAACCAAATGCAGATTATTGGGGCAAAACTGTATCCTACTTTATCAGTTCCAAATCTCTGAACCATGAACAGGCACACCAATATGGCCACTGATGCCCAAACAATCCTACCTGCCAAACAACGGAGTGTGTTTGGATTAACTTTACCGAATGATCATCTGGGAGGGTTTAAATATAAAGTCGTTCGATAGGAAATTAGAAAAAAAAAAAGAACCACTTTTAAAATAATGAAATGAGTTTTATAATCTTATTTTTAAGGATCAACTCTCATCCAAAAAATGATTGATCATGAATCATGTAATATGGTAATTTGGTACAGTGTGGAACCAAACAAACTAGTAACTAAAATCATTTTTAAGAAAATGTAATCACAAAATTATTTTAATTAAAACTATTTTTATAACAAGTGTTTGAAAAAGAAAATGTTTGTTTAAAAGGTGTTTAAATCAGAAGGTACGTCAAATTTACACCTAGAACTATTTACTTGAACCTTCGAATTTTTGATTGATATATATTTTAGTAGTGGAGTCATGACCTTTAAAATAGTTATAAGTTGAGTTCAGGTGAGATGGTGTTTTCTATTTTCTGAATATCTGATCGAGACTTGGAACGTAAATGAACTTTTTAACCTTCGGAAATCATTTCATTTTTTAAGAACCATCTTGTTTTCTTCCTGGTTTTTCTTTCTCTCTCTTAAATTTAAGCAAAAAATTTAAACTAAAAGAATAGTTTTTTTTAGAAAAAATTGGTTAAATTTACTAATAAGTAATAACTTATTTCTTTTAAGAAGATGAAGAAATAAACATAGAAATTGTGAATAAACAAATTTAGGTTTTATAAACATGAAAGTAAAAACTAATTTGTCGTTGTGAAATGAAATCAGACCTGATTGACATTATTTGAATTTTTCTTTCCATTCAAATAATATTTCTTTTTTTAAATATACTATACATGTAATGTTAACAACTATTCACCTAAAAACTTGTGAAATAATAAATTATTATAAAACCTAAATTTGGTAAGGAGGAAATATATTATATTAAAGTAAAAGGGATTCAATTTCCTTTTACAAATATTTGGTTCGATGTATTTTCTGAAACTCCTATAAAAATTTGAAAAGAAAAAGAACATCTTTTTAGAATATATATATATATATAAATTATTTTATTTGGATGACAATTTTCCAATAAAGAAAACAATTTTCAGTTTATTTATTAAGGTGAAAAAACGCGTTTTAAGTAATAAATTTTTAATGGTTTTGAAAGTTATTGATACTTTTAAACATTTTTTTAGTATTTAAAAGTTGAAAAAGCAAATTGGCTAATAAATAATTCTGTCTTAAAAATAAAACTAAAAAAAATTAGTAATAAAAGGAAGCAAAAATTGAGGCTATGATTTATGAATCTACCTTCCGTCATTGAAGGGGTAGCCACCTTGATGCCTCCCACAGCTGATAAAACTGAAGTCGTAAAAGGAGATCAAACGTCACCGTTTTATCACCATTTAGTATTAGTTTTAAAGTTTAAAATATTATTTTTGGTTCATACCGATCTGTGCTTCCAATTTTGGTTCATTTTAGTCTATATCATTTTACCAAAATGAACATTTTCAAAGTAAAAAAAGAAAAAAACTAAAATGAACCAAGTTTGAAAGTATATGGATCAAAATAATATTTTAACTAAATACTCATCGGCTATATGTACTAATTGGTTGATGTACTCCAAAAAATTACTATTTTGATACATTTATTTTCATTTTTATCTTATTTATTTCGATCAAAATTTTAACATGATACCTCACTTAATAAATTTATTTAAATATAGCAATAAATTTGTATTAAACAAATTTCATTGTGCTCCTGATAAGAATTTGAACTTTTTTTTATAAAATACATTTTAATCGGACTTGATTTCTACTTGGTCCCTAAATTTAAAAGACCATCATTTTTTGTCCTTAAGATTTTAAATTTATTTTCTATTCGGGTCCTTACAATTAAAAAATAACACATTTGATCTCTAAAGGTTGAATTTAGTTTTTAACTGGTTCCTAAGGTTTGAGATTGGTTTTCAATTGATGTCGTTGAAATGATGACGTCACACTTAATTGTTAGGTAGACAAAAGAGAATATCTTGTTAGTAAAGTCAACTTAACTCTCTGGAACAATTTAGAAATTAAATTCAAACTTTAGTGTCAAATTAAAAATTAAATTCAAATTTCATAAGCTAAACGGATCACTTTAGACACTTCAAGGACCAAAGTAAAACTAAATTTAAATATGGGTGAGAGTGATGGTTTTTTAAATTCTAACACAAATAAAAATAAAATACGACTAAAAATGTATTTTGTTTATTTATTTATTTCTTTTTGCCTTTTAAGCTTACGCATCGATCCTGGTACCTTTTTCAACTTCCGAAAACAAAAGTTATCATAAAATTAAAAAAAAAAAAAAGGATAAGAGAAATAAAGAAAGAGGGGGACCTGAAATGCAAGGAGTGAGAACGCCATCGCCAATGACCATGGAGGTTCCGAGCATAGTCGCGAAGAGAAGAAAAACCTTGGCGAAATGGCTCTTCTCCAGCTTCGATTGGACCTTCGAAGCTCTGTTCTTCCGATCGGGATCATCCGGTAAACTCAGCTGGTAATTCGACACATCCCGATCYTCAATCTCCTCGTTCGGAATCAGCCCTACCTTCGCGTATCGGCAGATCAGAGAGTACAGCGCGAAAGTTCCGCCTGAAAAGACGAAATCAAAATCAAAATCATTAATCGGAATCCGAATCGAATCGAAATCGAAATCGAATCGTAATTTTACCTTCCCCGTTGTCGTTGGCTTTGAGGACGATGAAGACGTACTTGAGGAGAGGAATTAGAGTGATGGTGTAGATGATGAGGGAGAGCGCTCCTAAAACGTCGTCGTTGTGGTTGATTCCGTCCGGGAAAGTGCTGGAGAAGACGTACAGCGGCGAGGTTCCGATGTCGCCGTACACCACGCCGATGCTCTGGAATGCTAGTTGCAGAATCGTCCACCAATTCTCATTCTGCCGCCGACGGACAAATCTCAATGTCAATTCAATTCTTTTACTCCAACTCCAAAAATTGGCCCTAACAAAATTTAATCTAATTCCATAATTTTATTAATTTCTTAATTTTACGTTTAATGTCTTCAAATATTTGTGCTCAACTGATCATTATCATTCCATATTGTAGCTTTCAAAATTAAAAAAAAATTAATAACAAGAGAAGGAAAAGAATATGGTTTAGGTTTGTGCACAATAATTTTTTAAAACAAAAATTAAAATATCTCTTAACATCGTTTCATTTAGACATGTAAACACGCCACTCAAATTAGAGATAAGGAAAAATTATTTTCTCTAATTTGTCATCTCTAAACTTAAATGTTACTATAGCACATAAGGATTAATCAAAAGTTATAACAAGAAAAACACTATTTATTTAATTTTTTATTTTTATTTTTTTTCTATGAAAATTTCATTTTACTTGAACACCACTTTTGACGGTCTAGATCAACTTAAGTTAAATGGAACCTCCATCATCTTGATTTGTTTAAAGAATAAAATATGAAGAAACTTCGTACACCTTAAAATTGTTCGTAAAATAGGACGAAAGATATTCATTTATGCTTGACGGACCTCATCAATATCTCAAATCAATGATCAAATCATTAACATGCGTGTCCAAACAACAACTCGGACGCAACAACTCTAACAAATATCAAAACGAACATAGTTCGACGATAATTGTCATATACAAATTGAGAATCTGAAGAGATCAGAGAGAAAGAAGGGACCTTGGAGTCGGAGTGACGGTGACTGGAGACTTTACGGGACTCCAAATCCAAGGAGTCGTATCGCCGGAGCTTCTGCCATGAAAGTTTTTTCTCCGGGAGCTGTGGAGAAAGAGAGGGCGGCGAAAGTTGTTCTAAATCCTCCATGGCGGCGGACACTTCTGAAACGCCGCCTGAGATTTGGTTACTCATTTATTTGCTGAAGAACAGAAGAGAAAAAGACTATATGGGAGAAAGAACAGGGTTCCCCTTACTCTTATATGGAAAAATACAGCAAATAATGACTATGGGGTTATCCCAAAAGGAAAAGAAGTTAAAAAAGACTTTGTTTTGTTTTTTAATTTATAATTCAACAATACATCGAGTCGGGATTCGAACCTCTACAGGTTTGATTTTTATGATTTTGTTAAACCTTATAAAGTCTGCCTTTAAAATCGTGCTTTATTTATATTAAAAAATACATTTTACCTTTTGGTTAGAAATATATGTCTTAAACAATTGAATTCGAACTCAAATAAGTTTTTTTTTTTCCACCTTTTCTTTTTACTTAACCATAAACCATTCCGTGTATAGTCATAAATTACATGGTTAGCTAACAAAATAAACAACATAGAAAATAGTTTAAATTTTTAAAATTATAGAGATCAAATTGCCATTAACTCAACAACTAAATTGAGACTTTTAAATTACAAATTAATTGAGCGACCAAATTTGTTGTTTTTGACTTTCGTGTTTGAGAATAACATATAAAGTGGTTTGTGTTTTATGAATCAAAAGCTTTTGGTAGAAGTGCTTGATTGGGATTACGGCACTCTCAAAAGCAATTTGAAAATCAGCYGAGAATACAAACATCAAGTGATTTGTGAAAATATTCATTCTAGAAACACTCAAATACATTCTTTAGATAGATTTGACGTACCTTTTAATTTAAGTTTTTTGTTTTATAAAAAATGCTTTTATTAAAACACTCTACTAAATTTGATTTTAATAAAAACACTTACGTGTTCAGTTGTATTTTCTTTAGTGTAATAATTTTTTAATACAATAAGTGGAGATAAGATTCGAATTCACAATATTTTAGTTGAAAATAGGTATCTGAACCAGTTGAAGTATATTCAGTTAGCAAATTTGTTAAAGTTGCATYACATTAAAGTGATTCAAAAAATATCAAATTGCACCATAGTAATTACTATAAAAAATAGTTATTAATCACTTTTTTTTTAGGAAATTGTTATTAACCACTTTAAAATTCACCTTACACAGAATCAAATTTTGAAGTGTTTTTTATTTAATTTGTTTTAAAGTAATTTTTGTTCTTTTTTTTTCATCAAAGGAAAACGTAACTATGCCAAAGCAACATAACTAAAGGGTAATTGGTACATCTACCTATAATACTAAAAAAATGGAAAACATAACTATTATATATTTTCTTTTTCTTTTTCATGTCTATTTTAGTCATTTCTCATCAATCATTCTAACAACAATTCCAAATCCTTTTTAACCTCAAAACACCTATAATCTAGTAAAGTGTTACTTCAAACACTCATCCACGCTAAATATCTACTAATCAAAAAAATAGTCAAATTAGTTAGATATAATATTTATAGATATATGCTCACGACATTTTAATTAGTTTTTATTAAATAAGTTATAAAAAGAAAAGGACAACAAAGACTAGACTTTACTTCTACATTAAATCCAATAACTAAATTTAAAATAGAATAACAAATATATACACACTTTTTTGGGAAGTTAGAATCCTTTTGATTCATTAAATAAATTAAGAAACAGAAAATTAATTTTTTAACCATAAGTACCTATCATGATTTTTTCCTATGCATAATTTTTAAATTTATATTTCTAATTTAAACTCTAGGAAACTATATTTTTTTAATAGACAACAAGAGAATAGGTTGGGCTTCCAAATCAGCACCAAGGTTTCTTTCCATTACATTAATTTGAATTAAGCCAATGAATCTAACCAAATTTCATATTTGAAAAGGAAACAAAACCATTAAAAAAAGTGTTAAGGTTTCAACATCATAAGAAAATACCAAATCATCTTTTTTTTTTTTTTCTGGATAGGTTATGACAATAATGTTTTAGTCATATTTAATTTTCTAATAAAAAGGTGGGAAATACAAATCTTTTGCTAACAAAGATTGCCGTGTCAAAACTTACCATTCTTTTATTTAATTTTATAATCTAGTTTAGGTGCAATAATTGCTAAGGTAATGTCATGAAGTTTAATATTAATTATAATACTATAAATATTCACGAATATCCTTTGTATAAAATCCAAAAAGCAACGAAAAAACATAGACTTATGAATATCGTGGAGTGACGACAACTTCTAGATTTTGGGACATCCCTCCAATAGAATATCTATACATTCATATTTCAAAGTAATTTTTTCCTTTTTTGGTATAGTAATTAGTTGCGTATACAAATTGAGTTGGGTCGGATTGGATTCTAGAGAGTTTTTTTTTAATCCTCAATTCTTCTATCCGTTGGAATCGAATCAATTAGGCAACACAACCTTTCTACTTTACAAAATGATGGTCCAAAAATAGTGAACAGCAATGACAAGCCACAAACAAAACAATGAATATGCTAAATTACATATCTTTTACCGGTTTATAAATTTATATTTAGTTATTTTTATATATTATTTTAGTTCAACAAGTAGGAATTTGAACTTTTAAATTTTTTTTTGGTTAAAGATTCATTTTCTTAAGGAAATCTATATTTAGTTTTAAACCCTCAGCATATAACAGTCGAATAGCCGAAGATTAAAAATAATAATAATACAAAAAAATAATAAATAAAAATAAAAAGTGAAAGTACGCGTTTTATGCACGTGTGTAGTCAAAAGTTTGACTGTCCTCACGTGCGATCCGTGTAGGTGTCACGGGAATTATAGGTCGCGGATTTACCAAATATCTTCAAAACGTCAGCATTTTCATTAAATGCCCGCCTGCTTAAACTTAAACCATTTATCTTTAATATTGTCGCTTTCTTTCTTTTCTTTTTTACTTTGTAAATATCGAATTTTTAAAGTACAGTAACAAAATTAAACTTTTAAAATCATTTTATCTGTACCTTGATTCTTTGAATGAGTAATTTTAACCAAATAGTTTTAATGGTAATTGATTTTGTGAAAGTAATTTTTGAATAATCATTTCAACGTTCGATTACACTTTTTCAARTAATTTCTATATATAAATAATTAAAAGTAACTGTGAAGGATTATATTTGAAGTTTAAAGATATAACTTTTAAAATATATATATATAGGGAGAAAAGAAGTTAGAGAGTGAACAAAAATTTTAAAAGACTCACAGACAAAAATTTTAGATGATTTGAGAACTAAAAGTTTAAAGAGAGATTAAAAAATTTTGAGGAAAAAAAAATTTAAGAGAATAATAAATATTAAAGATGCAAAGTTAGAGAATGACAAAAAATTTTAAAATAAAAATATAAAATTTTTCAAAATTTAAGGTGAAAATAAAGGGAATAATAGAAAGGCAAATTTAAAATTTAAAACAATAACAATTTTAAAAACTAATTCCTATTAATTTTTTTTTTTTTGACAATCACTTGGCAATCACCTCAGTAATTGATCCGCAATCATTTTTTTTTTCAAAATCATTTGAGAATTACTAACAAAACATGTCATTTTAAAATAGTAGTGATTTTGATATTAGTTAAAGTGATTCTAACTATACTAAAATCACTCTCAAACATATCATATACGAATCATGAATCATTTTATATTGTGAAAAAAAATTTATATCCCTATTCTGCCTTTTATTTTTCTTACGTGGCTTCTTTTCTGGTTGTCTTTCCTTACTTTTAATAGCAAATTATAGAAAACTATTTATTATTATTTTTTATCTTGAAATTTTTGTTTCATTGAAGTTAAATAAGTGACCAAATTACTTTATATTGAGTTAATTAAGGTTCTCTTTGATAATCAATTTATTTTTTGTTTTTGTTTTTTGAAAATTAAGCAGATAAACACTACTTTAATATTTCTTTATTTTGTTATCTACATTTTTAAAATATTTTAAAAATTAGAGCAAAATTTTGAAAGTAAAAATATATATATATATATATAGTTTTTTGTTTTTTTAAATCTAGCTAAAAATTCAAAATATGTTTTCCAAGGTAAAAAACATACCAACGAGATTGTGGGCTAAGGCTAACTAAACACCCTCTAAAAAGTTTTTTTGGTATATTTTTAATATGATTCATGTTTTACTAATTTTGTAATTAACCGTTCTCTTAGAAAGGAAATATCACATAATTTTGGCTGTATTTATGTCATGACTAAGATACTTTCAAGTGAAGCTAAGTAATTAATATATTTTTGTTTTTWAAAAAAAATGTTCCATTTAGAAAGTATTTATCCTAAAAGCATCCACACGATTATGAGATTCAATCAAAGGGTCTAAAAATTAAAATTAGTAAAATATCAAGAGAAGGTAAAAATTAAAAAAATAATAATAATAATAATCATCCACAGGCTATGATGGTGGGCTCCAATGCAGAGGAAATATCTCTCTCACACATTTCTGAACTAATATTTGAAACTCCCTCCTGTATCCAAAAAAATAATTATATCTCAATAAAATTATTTTGGTTAATTAAAGTTTTTTTTTATACCACATGTGAGGGTGGGGATTCAAACTCATGACCTCTTGGTCGGAAATAGGTGCCTTAACCATTCGAGCTAGGTTCGGTTTGGTTAATTAAAGTTTTAGAAGTTTATATCTTTTAAACATAAATAAATTGAAAATATTTGTATATACCTTAACAATTAGTTATGTTTAATCTAAATTTATAAACTAAAAATTAAAAATAGGACAAAGTTAAATAGGTAAAAATCTTGTAAAATTCTATGAAATTACTTTTTAAATAAAAATAAGATTTGAACTCAAAATCATGAGGTAACAAATTCATTTGAAATTTGTCATGATTTTAAAATCCCTCCGAATATTAGGTAGCATTGACAAAAACTGAGGAGAAGAATTAGTCTACGCTTAAAAAAAAATTAAATTTTTTTTTTTTCAATTTCGAGAAAAATATAGTATAATTTATAAAAATATAAGGAATTAAATTGAAAGAAAATACCTTAGCCAAATTCCTAAAATAGGTTGTTGTGTAATTGGCCGTAGGGAACAAAACCTCAATGACGTCTGCCAATACCAACTGCGGCTGCGAGATTGCTCCGTCGAACCAATCTAATCCAAAAACAATTTTTTCTATTATATTAAAAATAAAAAATAAAAACTAACAAAATGTAAAATTTTAAGATTTTAGTTATTGATAAAGATTTTATTTTTTAACGTTAAATTTAAATAAGTGCATTCTTTAAACTAAATTAGATATGTTCGAAATTCCTTTCAACTTTCAAAACTTTTTATTAATATGCTTCAATATATTTATGTCAACATTTTAATACCTTATTCAAAATCATGTTTTTTTTTTCCTTTTTTTGAGTAAATGAAAAGTTTTACTTATTACTTCTAATAATTTATATTTTACATTTATTTAAAATTAATAATGAAATTCAAGAGGGGTTAGAATTCGATATTTCCTTGTGTGGGCGTGCATGCAGGTGGGAAGTTCCCTTCCAACAATTTAGATCTCTTTTATTTTGTTTATTTTGATTTCTTAATTTTTTTCTTCTTGAATTTATAGATTTAAATGGTTGTATTTTTAATATTTTATTAGCGTTAGTAAAAAATTAAATTAAAAAAATATTACATGAAATGCATGTAGTAACAGACTAGTATAGAAAAATGGAGAGAAATTTCACTAAATAATGCAAATTTAATATGTAACCAAAAAAATGTCCTTGGGGTAAATTTTTCTTTATTGTTAATGTTGCTGTATTTTACCTTTCTGTTGAGTTTGATTTGAATTTGAATTTAGAAGCATGTAGATTTGAAAACATATATTTATTTTATGATATTTAATCGTAAATCCATGAAAATAAAATCTATTATCTAAAAAGAAAAAAGAATCGAAAAAGTGAATTTTTGGCGAGGGAGAGTGGATTACCGAGAGCGAGAGCGGTGGAGTTGTGAAATCGTTTATCGAATCTCCAAATGCTCTGTGAGGAAACAAAAGAGAGGCAAGATTGGTCTTCGATGTTCGTCAGATCCAGAAACGTGGACACCTTGTACGCCGTTGGATCTGACACGTATGTTTCGTCGATCACCACCTCCACCGTCTGTCTCCAATAAATAATTAATAAATAACCTTTAAACAAAAACCATACTTTCTATTTTAATTCATTTTAGACTATTTACTTAATTCCAAATACTAGTTTAGTGACGGTAGTCCAATTTTTGTTTATTTTAGTCCATGTATTTCAAAATATTCATTTTAGTTTGTGTACATCTAAAAGAGTAACTATTTTGGTTTCCTAATTTTATTCTCAATCTCATTTTTGTTTATCACAATTTCAACACGACACTACAATCAATATATTTCTTTAAAATGTAAATGTTTTTAGTATAAAGAGTTATTGTGATGGATAGAATTTTGCAAAGAGAGACTAAAATGATTACTTTTTGAAAATATAGGACCAAAATGAACATTTTTTAAAAACAGGAACTAAAATGAATCAAAATAGCATTTTAACCTTGTTTATATTAGTTCTATACTTTTGGTCCGCGTATTATAGGATGACCAATTCCTCATTCCTATTTACAAAATCAACCGCAAATATGTGGCTAAATTTCAAGAAATTTAATGGGTATAATTTCAGGTTGAAATTACAAAAACCAGAACGGACGATTGTTTTAAAAGTACAATAAATAGATAAGTAAATAGTGAAATAATGGAAAAAAAAGGAAATTTAGAAAAATAGAAGTGAAGACTTACGCAGAGGATGCCGTGAAAGGCATCTAAATCGTCAGGATTAGAGACGTTGTAAGTGATTTTGTTGATGGATTCGTCCACATTCTCTCCTCCTGCATCTTCTATGTACTTTTCCAATTCCCCCATGTGTTAGTTTTCTATATTAATATTTACTCCAAACAAATACATACATACCATTTAAATCTTATTTTCGTCTCCAAACTAAATGTTGCAGTTAGAATTAAGTACCTTGAGCTTGTAGGAGTCCTTCGTGAAAGACCATATGCCCTGTCCCCAAAAGACGAGCATAAAAATCTTAATAATTAATTTTATTTTTAAAAGGAAGAAATAAAAATTAACATAATTAAAAAATGTGAAAAAGAAAAAAAAAAGGCAAAATAAAATGGGTATGATTATTACGTCATAATAACCGATCCAAGCAACTATGGGTTTGAAAGTCTTTCTGGTGGTTGCTATGTTCTTCAGGCACATGTAATTTTCTTTCATCTGCAAAACAATACATACATATATACAAAACAATTTCAAAATAAATGTTTTTATTTTAAGTTTAAATATTATTTTGATACTTACGTCAATTTTGATCATAGACTTTTAAAAATGGATCAATTTAATCCATGTTTATAAAATTTTAATTCAAGTTTATAGTTATATTAAAAAAAAAATAGTGAGTGAAGCGTACACCAAAATTATGATCTACAAAAATGACATAAAAAAAACCATAATAGTGATTTTTATAAAATATAGGACTAAAATAAAACTTTTGAAAATATAGAAATTAAAATAAATAAATAAAAGTTAAAAGTATAAAAGATTAATCAAACTATTAAAATGTTATTTTAACTTAATAAAAATAAGTATAAATATATGATATAATATGAGATGTATCTAATTATCCACAAATTAAATTACTTACCGCGGTGTAAATTTGACTGGCTCTTGCTTCAAGGTTTGCAAAAACTCCCAAGAATTTTATCCACTCTGCCCTCTAAAATTTACAACTATAAGCAAATGGTGAAAAATCAAATAATCTACTCTTTTTTCTTTTTTAATTAATGATTTTGAAATCTTTTAAATCACGATTCTTTTTTAATTAATCAAGTAGAGTAGTGAATTCATAGTAATCGTAGTTCAATTAGTTCAGGTATAATATTTCTTGTTTCAGATCCACCGAATAAAATATATTAGGTGAATACTTATTTGGCATATTTGTTTTCGAAAGTTGGTTTCCAATTCTATGATTCAAATTGTAAAAATTCTGAATAAGATATTTAAAATTTTAAAATACACAATTACATCTTAATAAAAATTTTTTTTTTTTTTGAGTACAACATTGTGGGGTTGGGGTTCGAATTCATGACCTTCTGTTCAGGGATAGGTACCTTAACCATTTGAGCTAGGCTCGGTTTGGCCATCTTAATAAAAACTTTAATATCACGTTATAAACTAATTTCATTTTTGTTAAACATAATACATTATAATTATATAATATCAAAATTTATAGAGATGGAAGGAAGGTTTACTTGCAAAGGCGTATCCTCAGAGGAAGGAAGAAAGGCGGCAAAATTGCAGAGCTGTTGTTGGTCCACGTCAGCAACGAAGTGGGCCGAGAACTGTGCCAGCTGTAGCGCATCCGTGTTGTTTATAATCTGAATTTCCCCTTTTTCGTATTGCTTTAGTACGCACTCCGACGCCAACGTGGCCGACGTCGTTATGCCCTTCAAACTTCCCACTACCCCTAGCAGCTGATTCCTCCCAACATACACACTTTTTGTTAACACTCAAAAAATTAAACTAAAATAAAAAATACATTTGATCCCGATAATTTCGTTAACTTAATCCCGTGACAAATTTCGTCAAAGTTGGAATACTCATCTTAGTATATGGTTGGTTTAGCTATATAAATTTTTAACAGAACTAAGATGTTAGATGTAAAAACGATGGAAAAATATTTGACTTCACAACAATGAGTAATAATCTTATCTTACTTACCATTAAAAAATATTTGACAATTAAGAGAGAAATGAAAAATCAAATCAATACTTTAAATAATAATGAATTGTCAAATATTTAACCATGATGATAGCAAAATTTATTCTCACTGAAGTTAAAATATTTTCCAAAGTGATGAGCTAAAGTTGTTACAAATTTTAAGTTAGTGAAACTAATTATTATGTACTATAATTTAGAGGACTAAGGGGTATTTGTATCACTTTTTCCATTTATCATGTTTGAAAAATAAGAAAAATTTGATTTTAGAAAAGTTAATTCCTTTAAATTAATTTTTAGGTATTATTTATATATGATTATTTTAAAAATCAATTATACTTAAATATCTCAATAAAACGTTATTAAAAAAGAAAACTTCACCGATATAAGACGTACCTCGAAGAAGGAAACTGGAAGGAAGCATTGGCGGAAGGAGCCAAAAGAGAAAGAAGAAAACAAAAAGTTAATTATATTGGGAGTCACGTGATTACTTTCTATCAAAAAAGAAGAAGAAAAAAAGTAGTAATAAATTAATAGTGATAATATTATAAATAAAATTTATTAATAAAAATAGAAATTAGAATTAGATTTTAGAAAGAGTACCTGGAAAAAGGTGGGTATCAACAGTGTAATTGGTCAAAGGGATGACGTAAGATTTGATCCTTGGAGTGCAATATTTGGTTCTTCCCCCCATCTTTGAATTATTCTGTTCTTTTTTTCCACATCAAATCAAACCCTACTTACATAATACTCCAAAAAAAAAAAAATGAAATTAAAAAATCCCACTCGCAATAATTTTCCTTTTATATATATCAAATTTCTAAAAAAAAAATATCCTTCAACGTGTAGATATTTTTTTTGTGTGCTGTATAGATAGAGGAAAAATTTTACAGCTTCGAATATACTTTCCTTTCGTCTTTATAAAAAAATTCTAAAATTCGATGTACTCCACGTCATTTTTAACACAAAATTGACATAGCAAACATCGTAGTATCCAAAATTTTCTTATAGATACAAAAAAAAAGACCAGGCACATAATGTCAAGTTTTTGTCATTATAAAAGATTAATTTCTAACACTAAAAATGGTTGGAGAAAAAATTCATTTGTACTTGTATGCTATATAAATACTCACGCTCAATGAGTTAGATTTTAATTTTAGTTCAAGTCGAAATTTATTCTCTTTTCAATACACCAAGTTTTTTAGTACAATAACCCACAACGGAATATATATGTCAATTTCAGCTTAAATTATGCTGGTTAAACTTTAATAGGTTGAGATCTAAATACTAATAATATATATATATATATATATTTATATTTCGAATATGCGAGCGGAAAGGTATTGCACTTTAACTGTTACAAAAGGAAGGAAAAGACAAAACTAACCCTTGAAAAGGGGTTTTGGCGGAGGGTGGAATCGGGTCGGGTGAGAAACCCGAACCCGCGAGAAACGGCGAAATTGGAGATGGAAAAAAAGAAGAGGAAGAAGGGAAAAGAACCTGCATGAGAAGGTAGCTGCTGCCGTCAATGGCGTTCTTAATGACTTTAAATGACTGTCCGTAATAAATCCTGAAATTCACCGCGTCTTCCACCTTCGAAATGTTTCCCACCTTCACCGCCGCCACCGCCGCGGAAATAACCCAGACGACGACGAGACGGCCCAACGACCTCATCCGAAACGGAG